TAAATCAAAGCACAACAAAAAAAATCAAAGCTATGTTATTATTAAGCGTAAAACTAGAGGGCAGTGACATTTTCCCCTGTTATCCCAGCATCCTTTGACATGGCGTAGAACAGACCGCGTTTGTCAAACAAGTTGCTTGGAGAATCAAACTCCACTATCTTACCAGCATCCAGCACCATTACCCTGCGGAGGAGAAACACAAGCAGACAAGAGTGACCTGCTGAGCAGTGTAAATCCTAACTGGCTAGCAGAGGAGGATCCAGCAGGGGAGCACATTTAAGCATTTCTATGTGTAAATGGATGCATGCATAGATATTGGCGCTCTAAAAATAACATAAAATCAGTTCGGGGTGCCGCAGAGGGCAAGGTGAGAGAGACAGTCTGCTTAGAATTTGCTTTTTTCCATGCCACACTAAAAAAGGAACAAAGTGGATGGATGGTGAAGTGGATGGATAATAGTTGAATGTGTTGATGAAAAAGGTGATGGATTTGTTTTCTAGCTGCATTCCTATAATGACCTCTAATCAAAACAAAGGGCTGATGCAGACTTTGCTGCAGTAAAAATGTCCTTTCAGTGCAAAATAAATTCCAGGTTGAATGGGTGAGTGAATCAACTGTATTTACTGTATAAAGTGATTTTGCCTAAAAAATTGTTGACGTTGCTCGGTGCATGATTTTAAAATTGACTTTTTTCTTTACTCTCAGTTATGATGCTACATATAGATTGGTGGAAGGTTCTTGCTTGCATTAAAGGAATAACATTTATTATGTAATAGCAGTTCTCAAATATGAATAAAATCTATTGATACAATGAATGAATTCAAGGATCCTCCGTCTGAACCATGTCTCAGCCCTCCTTATGTGTCCCCTATTGTGCTGTTCTCAGACTTTGAAGGCTGGTAGCGCTTTTCATGTCCGATCTCATTACAGATGTGCATATCATACAGGGGCTGACTCAGACCTTGCACCTGTGGCCATTAGGCCTCTGTCACAACAGAGGATGAACTCTTGCAGCTGAAAAGCCTGGCCCATGAACCCAGATACTAGATTTTACTAGTCTATTGTTTGGAACTGAAATAGAAGAGGAAGGCACAAAAATAGAGACAAAGATACTCTTAACAACAATAATTATTCGGGCAATAACAAGGATAATATACTATCCCTAGAAGAGCTCAGTGTCTGACATGGTCTGTGACAACTGAGCAATTTGCTGATGAACAAGTGAATATTTTTTTGTTTGCTTGTTGTGGGAACTGCTGGGTAACTCTATGATATAAGGTATCGACCTTACTATTTAAAACACCTTTGGATAATATATGTTGTGATTTGGCACTATATACAAAAAACATTTAATTGAATTTAAACCATTTGATGTATGGTTCAAAGTTCTTTTACAAGTTGAAGTTCAAAT